AACACTCTAGCGTTTGCCTCTGCATTTTCTCACCATTCTGTTTCTGTTTCCTTTTTCCATATTGCACACAGGTATTCCCAGATCACCTTCCCAGACTGTGGAGGTGCTGTGGGAGGCCAGGAGACACCATTTAGCTGATCTGTACTGTGTCTGGGTTTTTCCTCTCAAGGTGTACCATGCGCTGGTAACATCAGCTCCAAGAAAGGGACTAGAGGGGCTTCCCCAAATATTACTTTGCAATACTGTACAAGAATTACTGTACACTGAGAAAATGCTTCTCTGAAGGCGTACAAAAACTTTTGTTGCTGCATCTACCAAGCATGAGTCACTCACGGCTCCCTTAGCAGGGCTATCTGCTGTCAGAAAACACACAAGCATATGTACAAGCATCTGTACAACGGTCAAAAAGATGCAGATGGGGCGAGCCGGCTGATGGTGGTGCTCACGCTCCATGTCTCGCACAAAGGGAATGACTTAGCCTTTCCAACCACAACCGCAATGGGAACAAGAGGGGATCCGACTGTGCCACCAGAGACAGGTGTCTGCTCTCCCCTATCTCAATGAAGAGAGAAATTTATGAGGCTCAGTAAGTTCATCCTTAACTTGTTCTTCTGTTTCAGGATGGAAGAATTTACCTGTTTCCGGGACTCGCCCCTTCAGCATCCTTTCCCCCCACTTCTGCTCTGTTCCACTGCTGCTGGACAGATGGAGCGGGCGGGTTTATCCCTGGTGCTCCCAGGTGACCTCAAAGCCTCCTTCAGGAGAGGTATCCCACAAGCTGCCAGTCCTCCCACACATGGACATTCGTCTCCAATGCCCTGTGAGGAATCTCCAGAATGTTCTCCAGTGCCATCTCAGGCTTCACTTTTTCTTGCCTTGTCTCTTGGAAAAATTTGATCCAAAAATCCTCTAAAGGATTGTATTGGCCCTCACTGGAATTTGGGTGCTTTAAAAGTTTGAAGCATCATTTTTTAGACTCCCAGAAAATCATCTAATATTAAGGTGGGAAGGTGCCAGAAAGGCCTTTGGCTGACCCTCCCAGCTGGTGGAGAATGCCAAGCCAAAGTATCCCACTTGGCTGAAATTCCAGTAATGCCCAGACTATTTCTAGTGAGGGAAAACCCATGATTTCATGTGGCAACTGGT